TCAGGTGTTCTGTGATGTTGTGTTTGATTCTGTTATGTATTTATCTCTGTCAAGGAGGGACAATTTTTGTGTAATTTTATTTCGATAAAAAATGTTTACTTCTTGAAAGGTTTGGTGTGTATCTGATGACTTTCTACTTGCAATTTGTTTCTTTCTTCACCCCTTTCTGAAGTGACTTGGTATCTTCCACCATTCCTGTTTCCTGTTTGATGTTTCTTTTGATACAAAATTGTCAATATTTTGGGGGATCAACCAGTTGATATCCTTTGGGGGTGGAAGACAAGCAAATAAAAGATTTCTGATTAACAGAACGTTGAATTTTGCACATCAACAACAAAAATAAATCCAAACATTTAATAAAGAAAAAATCTTTTGAGTTTGACTGAATTTGAGAGAATTTTGACTGTTCAGAAACCATCCTCATGGCTCCTCCCTTACAAGTGTTACTGGTTGGTCCCCAGTATGTCCATTATAAGATCAATAGTTTGACTGTGTGTGAGAGATCAGTTCTGTAAGTAAAGTTGTCATCTTGCCGCCTGTACAGGTCCTGCCCTGAACCCTGCGCCTGACTGAAACTACACAGGTATGTACAGTTTTTACTAAACTGGTCTGATTCTTACATGTGTAATACTTACATATGTAACCTGTAAGGTGGTTATAAGGTTCTTCAGTTGTTTAACTGCTGGGCATATCATTAAACAGGACAGGACATTGAACCCTGGATGTTTCACCTCGGCTTTTTATTATAGTATTAATTCTAGACTTTTGTCGTGGAAGTAAATGTATCTTTATCACTACAATGACAGCTTCACTGTATTATAGTAGGACACTGGCAGTGTGTATCTTATGATGATGTTGACTTTACATGTAATGTCCATATCTAAGTTCTAATGGGAAGGACATATTTACATACTCCTACACTGATCTGCATAGTCTAATCTCACTCAGTTTTACATCAGGTGGCTGGAGGTTGTTCAGTGGTTTACATGTATCTGCTGGGTTAAGTAAGTGCACATACGGATGTTGAACTGTAGTTGTTTGACCATTTGTGTAGGGATCAATGGATAAATGATACAATTGAAACACATTGCAACAATGTACAAACCATTAGGCCAGGGGGCCGGGGCTTTCGTCATGGGAGTGAGCAAAGAGTCTGTTATAAGACTGTCTGGGTAGTATCTTTATTTTCATCACTTTAAGTCAGCATCACTGTACAGAAAGACATTGCTGGCTGTATGTAACCCTGAATGGTTTTGACTTTACATTTAATGCCTGTCCATGTCAAGCCCTTGTATACCAATCATAGTGTGTTTGTCAGTGATTTCTGAGTTTAGTATGGGGTGTTGCTAACTAAATAGCTGGCTGTGAATACAGTCCTGGTGTTGTCAATCATTGAATGTGTGACTATTAGGCCGACTTTAGACTGACGACGGTATACGATCGCACGACAATCGTTGTTGGCGACGGCTGGCTTTAGACACATGACCAGAAAGTGTGGCGGACACCCGCAGCGCAGGATGGCACGCCGCGCGCCAATTCAAAATGGCGAGAAAACCCCTTTTTTTCGGCATGCTGCAGCAGATTGTTTTTATTCTGCTTTTAACTCGTTGTCCTGTTGATGAGACGCCGAGTTTGTGCCCAGCAAAGAAGGGGTATATGGCACATGTACCGAGCGGGGCAATACTCCAGGTTTGAACCCGGCGTTCGGTGCTGACGTCGGCCTGGCTACATTGGCCGGGAAATGTGGATCGGCGGATCGGTTCGCACAGGAAAAGTAGCGATTGGTGGCAGGGGATTGTACTAGACACGTATGACGATATAAAGTCTTTGGTTTGACGACATTTAATGATACAGGCAATGTGCTTGGACATGAAATAACGCTTGCAGGCTTATTTGCATAAGGCTAATGACCTCCCACTTCCGTCGCCGGCGACGGTTCACTTTAGACGGTGGAAAATCCTCCTCGGACCCCCCGCTGAAGGATCGCACGATAGGGTCCGAGGTGGTAGTGACGACGATTCGAGGATTACCGTCGTGCGACTATTTTGATCGTGTTTAGACGGTGGTAAAATACCGTCGCCGGCAACATCTTGACGATAAACATTCGTACGACTATCGAACCGTCGTCAGTCTAAAGTGCCCCTTAGTGGCAGTGAGTTCTCCTCCCAGGTACAGCTGTACTTTGACCTTGTAGGTTTAATCAGTTTGACCTTACGTACAGTTACACATGTTCTATATAGTTAGTTATATATGGATGCCCCCCCTCCCCCAATTCAGCATTGAACCATGTCCAGAAATGGATCCACCTGTCAGAAGGATTGATCTTCAATTTGTACACAAACACACACGTAGGGAAGAGTGGTGAAACTTGCTTCAGAATCACTGTACTTTTTCTTTTCAGTGGTACTTAGTGAAGTTATTTCATGAAAAAAAATTAGTGAAGTGCCTTTTTATCATTAAGTGAGGGCCTGCATGGGGGGTAGTGATTACAAATTATGCAAAATTTTTGCCGCTGATCACGAATTACGTTAAAGTCTCAGAGCTGACTACACTTTGCGGCTAACGTACTATTACAAATTACGTTGATTTTTGGGAGGCTGCCAACGGATTATGAAGACTAAAAAGGCCTGATTACATCTTCCGAAAAAGGGCATGCAGATCCCCCTAAATATTACCTACTATGTAACGTTAGCATCACTGTCAAAATGTATGGACAAATCCTTCATGTTCAGTTCCAGGGCTCTCCCCAAGCAATGAAGCAACATTGCCCCCTCTCCCCAAAATCCTAGCATCTCTCCCAAAATGTTCAAATTTAGGTTTTTCTCTTAGTATTTCCATGAAAATTCACAGATTATTCATCAACTGATTTGGGAGCACCATTTTCTGGGCAGACCTCTGAGTTCCTAAAACAGTCCGTATCTTGTAGCCTCCACCCTGACTGATGAATGTCGTTAGCGAGTCTCGGAGGCGCACACCGAGGGTATCACGTTACCGCTCCCTGCAGACGATTGATGACTGTCTGCGGCGCTGACTGCAGCGTACCGCAGGGCTGCGCTGCACAAACCTGCAGGCTGCTTCAAGACAGATCTGGGCATTTTGTACAATAGGTGTGGAGAGGGGGGCAGCCGGGCTTTGTTGTGTGGAGGGTGGGGGGCAACGGGGCGTCGACCCTTGTTACCAGGGTGACAGAAACTGTAAAGAAAGAGAAAACGGTACATTCTGACTAAGGGCCTACACTGATACTACTAAAGATTTAAGCACATAGCTGTGTTTTTGAGATGAATTTCAGGGGTCTCCCCAGAAATTTTCAGGGAGAGTTGCACTTCCTAATCGGTTGATGTCATGAAAAAATGAGCAAATTTTCATGAAAATACTAAGAGAAAACCCTAAATTTGTATATTTTGTGACAGCTGCTAGGATTTTGGAGAGAAGGGCAGCACCCTTGCTTCATTGCTTGGGGAGAGCCCTGAGACCTAAATCTTTAGAAGCAAAAACTGGAAAGAAAAGGAGAATGGTTCTGAGTCTTCTAGGGCCTGCACTGATCTTGCTTTTTGAGATGAATTTTTTCCAGAGAGGGGAGAGAAGAGAGAGAAAAATGAGATATATGGTGCTCCCGTCGCGTTTGTGGTTTCTGGCATCAAATATTTAGCGTAAAATGTCGCCGCGTCTGTTGATCCGGCCTCATTTCCAGTTCCCCTGACGCACGCCGCACGTTGGGAGAATATGGATGCCCATCACGAGAATCCGTGCGCACGTTCGTTTGGGCCTGGGGTCGTCAGTCTTAATTACCGTCATGCCGGCGTGACGTGAGAAATAATCCGGCAGAAATGCGGGGACCAGAATTTATAGCCTCCGTAGCAGGCTTATAGAACTGGGGGTTTGGTGGTCTTCAGCTGTTTTCTGATCAGCCCAGTTCTAAAAAACGGGGGTAATTCAACCAGGCCGGCTATGTTGTCTATATGCAATCAGAAAATAGCACATAAAAGCTCCCAAAGACCATGAAGACCCCCAAAACCCTCAGTTTTTGGCTTGCTATGGAGGCTACAGAATTTACATGTCGGTGCAGGGATCTACCAGCACTCTGCCTTTGGCTGGGTGTTTTTTATGGTGCATGAATTAGACAGGCAGGGAGGCAGGATTTGCAGTCATCATTTATTCTGTTCAGACTCCATAATGTGACAGTCGGACGGCAGAGCTGACCTTGCAGGGCTGGAAATGCTCCAGGTGTAACTGTGTTCGGAATACCAGTCTGCAGTCTGCAATCTGCAGGTGGATTTTCAGGATTACAGAAGAAAAATTTATACAATCTGCAATTTTGCAGAAGGAAAAATAGGCTACAGATTCAATAGTTATCAATTTAGCAAACTAAAACTCTCAGGCCCCAAGGACAGACAATTATACTTAAACTACTGTTCTGCATGTGCACCTTATACCCAGATTTGGAGCTGTGCACCCAATGTTCTGTTGGTACACCAGTGCACCCAGATATTTTTGTAGGTTTACGTATGTAAAGATGTTAAATGTATAGTATGATACAGCATGTTCGTAATATCTAAGTGTCAGAAAAATAATAAAATCAGTTATAGTCCTTTTCCTTAGAAAAGAAACAATTAGTTTTTATTGTTCCATATTTGGATATTGATATTTTGTTTTATTCATGATTTTCATTTCATTGTCCTTGACTTTTTACTTATTGTTCAAATTTTGGATGCAGTCATATAAGCTAATAGTGATCTAATATTATGTTATCCACAATCATCTAGACATGTTTATAGGCCTAATATATTACATGTAGATATTGTCCCAGATTCTGTGATATTTTATTCACGACAAGCATCAGGATGCATTAGTTTTATAGTCGCCGCATTTCACAAATTTGTCCCAGATTCAGGCTCAGGCATCATGTTTTATTTACATCCACAGAGTGGAGAGCAGGACCCAGAGTTGTCCCATATTGTCCCAGATTTAGATACAGACAATTTCATCATTTTTCCCCTGCATTTTGAATACTAAGTTACCAGATTCAAACACAGATAAAAAGAGGCAAATGTCAGGTACCTGAACAGGTGCATGGGTTCAGGTACAGGCATGGTCCAGTTTGGCTAGTCTCTACCAGACTATCTACGCTGGATACATAGAGGAGAAAATTAGCCAGGGGAGTTTGACCGTCTTGTAGGTTTGACTGGCCGCACAGTGAAGGAAAGAAACTACCTCCCCGCGGCCGGACTCCCCTGACCAATTTTACTCTCTTTTTTGCCAATTTCTACCTGCCGTATTCCCGTAGAAAGGCCTGGTGGAGGCTACAGTTTGGCCATGTCCTACATGTTGCCAACTGTCTTTATTAGTGGTAAAATGATTTTTTAAGAGGGCTTAAAATATCCTAATCTAGAAACAAGAGTATTGACAAGTTTTTCTGATGTTCGAGTGCTAAATTGCCATGATCAAAACTACATGTATCTCTCGTGTGAAAACTAGTGTTCACTTTATTTTGTTCAGGTACTACAGGTACATCAGATGTTCAGGTCCAGACCTAAAGTACAGATATTAACTACACAGCTCAATACAGATGTGATATTTTATTCA